TTGCTTGTCAAATCCATATGTGCTAGTTCATTTATTTATTTACTTATTAATTGAAAATTACTTTCATTTATTTTTTTATTTTATTTTTTTCTTTTTACCCTTTACATGCCATTTTATTTTATTTTATTTTATATTGGTATCATTAATCTACAATTACATGAGGAACATTATGGTGCTAGTTTATTTTTAAAACTTTTTCAAAGAAATGTGGGAACAAGCTAAAAAATCCAACAGTATAAAAGGGTCTGTAGTGAGAAGTAAGGCTCTTTCCTGCCCCTCGTGTTCAGCACCCGGCATTACCAGCAGATGCTGTCAGGTAGTTGTTCTTAAATATTGATTTTATTTTTTAATTTAAAATTATTTTGCTTATTTAATTTTAAGAATTGTTGACATTATGAAATAAGTGAAAATGCATGCTTTACTTTTCAAGCATCATTTAAACAAATGCTCATGATAGAATTTAATTGCAGAAATGAATGGCAGAAGGGTACTCTAAATCTAGAATAGAAGAGTAGTACATGGAACATTTTCCAGGGCAGAAAATTGTTTTCTCTAAGTTCCAGAAAGCTGTCCCCTTCCACAGTAGGAATTCCTCTGGTATTATCCTGTTCTTTCAGAGCATGCTCCAGGCTTTACTGCACAATGCTTGTGCTTCTCCTCATGTGTGCCCAACCCAGAGTCAGCTTTTCCATTGAGTTTCACCCTCTCTCTTGGTGAACTGTTCCCTGATTCAGTCTCCCTCTCCCTTAACTTAAGTACCCAGATGTCCTATCACCAGCTTTTCATGTGCAGGAACTGACCTCTTTGATTTGTTGAGTGAACTTCCCCAGCATTTTTATTGTCCTAAATCACTAAGAGAATGGGTTTTGGTGTCAGATCCTGGTTCAGACAACAACTCTGCTACGAATTCACTGTGATTGGATGAGCTGTTTAACTTCTCTGGGCCCTGGGCTTCATTAAAATGGAGCTCAGAGTTGTGCTTCCATGCTTGAGGTGCTGTGAGGCTTAAACGGCATTGCTTATGCAAAAAGCCTAGCATGGTGGAAACGACCCAAATGTCCACTGACAGATCAATGAATACACAAAATGTGGTATGTACATTATGCCAAGTGGAGTAAGCCAGACACCAAAGGCAAATAAGGTACTATTCCATTTGTACAAGTATCTAGAATAGGCAAATTCATAGCACAGAAAGTGGAACAGAGATTACCAGGGGCCAGGAGATAAGGAATGGGGAGTTGTTGCTGAATGATTATAGTTTCAGTTTGGGGTGATGAAAGAGTTTGGAGAATAAATAGTGATAATGGTTGCACAGCATTGTGACTGACTGTAACTAGTGCCACTCAGCTGTACACTTAATGATTAAAAGGGCAAATCATATTTCATATATTTTACCAGAGCTTAAAAAAATAGTAATGTAATATACCAAAAACTATTCAATACTATACTTTAAATGGGTGACTTTTATGCTCTGTTAATTATATATCAATAAAGCTGCTTTAAAAAGCTTAGCATAGTACCTGGCATACAGTAAGTACTTAATAATGGGTAGTTGTAGTTGTGGTTGTTGATATGTAGTGAGCTTTTCCATGTGATTCCTATTAGGGAATACCAAAGGAGATGGAGATGTATGTGGGGGAAGCTGGAAGTTGTAGGAAAGGTGAGAGAAAAGAGAAGGGTTTGATCCACAGCCTCCTCCCTGGCTTCAGACCGTTTCCATTAGTCAGCCTTCCCTAGGACCAGCTGGTTCATGGTTCTGGACCTTTACTGGGAGTTTTGCCTAGAATACCCTATTTTTTCCTTCATTTAACTAATGCCTACTTATTTCTTTGAAATCCAGTGTTATTTTTCAAAATCTGGTATTACCTTGCTTAGGGACTTGTAATTGCTATCCAGCTTAAATGGCTTTCCATTTTATGCTGGAATGCCTCCATCCTAATTCAGAACTTTCCAACGGTTTCTTAATTCAGGTGTGCTGAGAAACTGATCCACTTCTTCTTCGAGGGGCAGCTTGGGGTTAGTTGCCCCAGGCACCCTCCTTCATGTGTCCCAGAGCTGCAGATGTTTTCCATATTGCAAATAGTTGGGAAGTGCTCCTCTCATCAATGATATATTTGACTGTTTCTCAGCAAGACTTCCTAAGTCAGGCTACTAAGTTGGAAATTGAACTTGTAATCAGGCACCTAGCTTACTGACCCCTGATGGTCTCTCTTTTGCTGATTTCTCCCTCTGTATGACCCCTAAACAGAGGAGTGCTACAAGGCTCAGCATTTGCACCTCTTCTCTGTCTGTCCTCACTACCTAGGTTAGTGCTTCTCAGAGTATAATGTGCCTTCTGATTATCTGAGGATCTTGCTGAAAGTCAGAACTGGACCTGAGGTTGGCATTTCTCACAAGTGCCTTGGGGTTTTGGTACTGCTGGTGTGGGGGGCACACCTGGGGACAAGGTGCTAGGACAGGCTTGTATCATCTCGTCTGGTCTCATAACTTTTTAACAGCGTGTAAAATGCAGATGGGCCCCAAGTTTTGTCTCCAGCATGGATCTCTCCCCTGTTCTCCAGTAAATTAAATATCCAGCTGACGCCTGACAGCTCCATTTGGATGGCTAAGATCCCACACCTAGTGTTCTGAGAATTGAACTAATTGCCACTGTTAAGATGCCCTCCGCTCTCCCCCACCTCACTGCCTGTATAGTTTTCTCCTCCCATTTCTGCCCAGCCACAAGGTTGACTTCCTGAAGCACAGCAGGTGTGCAAAAGATGTCCCCATAGGCTTAAAACAAGAAAAAACAATGAGAGTGTGTTGATTCTTGTCATGATACTGATGATTCCTAATTGATTTTTTAAAATCAGTTTTGAAAAACAGTTTTGAAATGTATGCCTTTTTGTCTTTGATTTAAAAGCAATATGCTATTTTGCTTAGCTTTATATGCAGTAGTCTATACTTAGTCATAGTTAACAGAAGATCCAGTTACCAGACATATTTGAACATGCTAAAATAAAAAGTGGCACCATCTCACTTATGCTATAACCTGCCGTGCCACATCATTGAAACCTGAAGCCTTTGTTTTCTGCTGCGTTAGTGCAGACAAAGCTGAACACAGTTGTTGATTTCACATTGTCTTGCTTGTCAAATCCATATGTGCTAGTTCATTTATTTATTTACTTATTAATTGAAAATTACTTTCATTTATTTTTTTATTTTATTTTTTTCTTTTTACCCTTTACATGCCATTTTATTTTATTTTATTTTATATTGGTATCATTAATCTACAATTACATGAGGAACATTATGGTGCTAGTTTATTTTTAAAACTTTTTCAAAGAAATGTGGGAACAAGCTAAAAAATCCAACAGTATAAAAGGGTCTGTAGTGAGAAGTAAGGCTCTTTCCTGCCCCTCGTGTTCAGCACCCGGCATTACCAGCAGATGCTGTCAGGTAGTTGTTCTTAAATATTGATTTTATTTTTTAATTTAAAATTATTTTGCTTATTTAATTTTAAGAATTGTTGACATTATGAAATAAGTGAAAATGCATGCTTTACTTTTCAAGCATCATTTAAACAAATGCTCATGATAGAATTTAATTGCAGAAATGAATGGCAGAAGGGTACTCTAAATCTAGAATAGAAGAGTAGTACATGGAACATTTTCCAGGGCAGAAAATTGTTTTCTCTAAGTTCCAGAAAGCTGTCCCCTTCCACAGTAGGAATTCCTCTGGTATTATCCTGTTCTTTCAGAGCATGCTCCAGGCTTTACTGCACAATGCTTGTGCTTCTCCTCATGTGTGCCCAACCCAGAGTCAGCTTTTCCATTGAGTTTCACCCTCTCTCTTGGTGAACTGTTCCCTGATTCAGTCTCCCTCTCCCTTAACTTAAGTACCCAGATGTCCTATCACCAGCTTTTCATGTGCAGGAACTGACCTCTTTGATTTGTTGAGTGAACTTCCCCAGCATTTTTATTGTCCTAAATCACTAAGAGAATGGGTTTTGGTGTCAGATCCTGGTTCAGACAACAACTCTGCTACGAATTCACTGTGATTGGATGAGCTGTTTAACTTCTCTGGGCCCTGGGCTTCATTAAAATGGAGCTCAGAGTTGTGCTTCCATGCTTGAGGTGCTGTGAGGCTTAAACGGCATTGCTTATGCAAAAAGCCTAGCATGGTGGAAACGACCCAAATGTCCACTGACAGATCAATGAATACACAAAATGTGGTATGTACATTATGCCAAGTGGAGTAAGCCAGACACCAAAGGCAAATAAGGTACTATTCCATTTGTACAAGTATCTAGAATAGGCAAATTCATAGCACAGAAAGTGGAACAGAGATTACCAGGGGCCAGGAGATAAGGAATGGGGAGTTGTTGCTGAATGATTATAGTTTCAGTTTGGGGTGATGAAAGAGTTTGGAGAATAAATAGTGATAATGGTTGCACAGCATTGTGACTGACTGTAACTAGTGCCACTCAGCTGTACACTTAATGATTAAAAGGGCAAATCATATTTCATATATTTTACCAGAGCTTAAAAAAATAGTAATGTAATATACCAAAAACTATTCAATCCTATACTTTAAATGGGTGACTTTTATGCTCTGTTAATTATATATCAATAAAGCTGCTTTAAAAAGCTTAGCATAGTACCTGGCATACAGTAAGTACTTAATAATGGGTAGTTGTAGTTGTGGTTGTTGATATGTAGTGAGCTTTTCCATGTGATTCCTATTTATGTTAGAGCATGATTTGGTGAAATAAAAATGATCATTTCAACAGAGAAGACAAGTAATGACTGTAGAGCATCTTTCTATGCTGATGGACAGTGACAGTATTGGAGTATGGGGGATACTTGATAATATGGGTGAATGTTGTAACCACAGTGTTGCTCATGTGAAACTTTAATAAGATTGTCTATCAATGATACCTTAATTTTAAAAAAGCTCATTTCAGCATTATCTTTAATGGATTTTTACTTATTTTCTCACTTCTCATTTCTGTACCTCAGAGTTATTGACCTGGGAGTCATGACTCCCTGCGATGAGATTCTGAAAGCTGCTCTTGACCACAAAGCAGGTACTGTGTGACTGTGCCTCTGGATGTCTCTCTAAGTTTTGTTTCCCCCACAGGTCTGTCTGTGAGCAGGAATGCCCCAGCCCATGTGGGATCGGCGGGGCCTCGGACACTCGGGTAGCTTCTGCACGGGGGCTGCCGTCATTGCCATTTACAGTGGCGGTAACACCTTTGTGGGTTTGAAGATGGGGAATGGAGACACGTTTCTCCTAAGGGAACAGTGTTGTATTAGACTTTTTCTCTGTGGGTCATTGTTTTTATGTTTCTTCAGACTCTGTGATACGTTTGAGTCTGGGAAATCATGAACGATCAATATATCCTATTGTCTGGCTTCCCCAGACTGTGGCAAGTACATTATTGCAACTTTAAGTTACAGATCATTTTTACTACCAAACGTTAACAATACACTGAAGGGCCTCACTCAGAAAAGGTGTCTTAGAACTAGAAATTGGTAATTCCTGTAGGTATTGTGGGCTTTATTAATAAAGTTTTAAGATGAGTCATCATCCTTTTTTTCTTTTTTTCTCTCATCTTCCTTCTCACTTGTCCTTTTTTCCTTTTTTCAACACTAGATATAATAGGCTTGTCAGGACTCATCACTCCTTCCCTGGATGAGATGATTTTTGTTGCCAAGGAAATGGAGAGATTAGCTATCAAGATTCCATTGTTGATTGGAGGAGCAACCACTTCGAGGTAAGTCATGCTAATGAGCTCTGTGCTTCATTGCAAATTCTCTTCAATGCCACTGTTTAAAAACAGTGATAAAATCTGAGCTGTTTTCCCTTATGATTGGTGCATTGGCTCCTTACTATAAAAAACCATGAACTTTCTGGTCTTCATTTGGCAAGAGCCAGAATACTTGTGGAGTGCACCGTGGGAGACTCCTGGGCCATTTCCCTTCCCTTTGCTGGTTTGGATTCCTTTGGTTTGTGATTGTCTTTTCCTTAATCTCCTCCTATCAGTTCCTGAGATTGTAATAAAAGCTTCTCTACTTAGTCTGATACTGAGAGGAGTAAGTCATGTTTTTGACACCCAGACATTGCTGGAAGTTGAGCCCATTCTGTCCAACTGAAGAACTACAGGTTCCCTTAAAGAAATTCCCACCTTGTTAGAGTTGAAAAAGAAGGCCCACCTAGGGAGAATGAACCAAAGGATCACTCTGACAAGTTGCTTCTGAAAGGTGGAAACTTTTGGGTTAAACAGTTTAAAGAGGAGGAAGTTCAAATTTGGTCTTGTCATCACTATTCATTTTGTCAGATTTTTCCTGGGATCATGATCATAATGATATTTGCTAAGAAATATTTTAGTTATGAGTACTAGATTTTTTTTTCTTGATATCATTAATCTATAATTATATGAGGAACATTTTGTTTACTAGGCTCCCCCCTTCACCAAGTCTTCCCCACAAACCCCATTTCAGTCACTGTCTATCAGTGTTGTAAGATGCTGTAGAATTGCTACTTGTCTTATCTGTGTTGCACAGCCCTCCCCATGCCTCCCCCACATTATACATGCTAATCGTAATCCCCCTTCCTTTTTCCCCCCTCCTTGTCCCTCCCTTCCCACCCATCCTCCCCAGTCCCTTTCCCTTTGGTAACTGTTAGTCCATTCTCGGGTTCTGTGTTTCTGCTGCTGTTTTGTTCCTTCAGTTTTTCCTTTGTTATACTCCACATATGAGTGAAATCATTTGGTACTTGTCTTTCTCCACCTGGCTTATTTCACTGAGCATAATACCCTCTAGCTCCATCCATATTGTTGGCAAATGGTAGGATTTGTTTTCTTCTTATGGCTGAATAATATTCCATTGTGTATATGTACCACATCTTCTTTATCCATTCATCTACTGATGGACACTTAGGTTGCTTCCATTTCTTGGCTATTGTAAATAGTGCTGC